AGAGAAAAAGACTTGGTGGGAATCAGACTTCCAGGCTTTAAGATACTGGTGTTGAAATGGTGACAGGAGATTTGCACTGCGTTTTCACCTGTCCCCTGGTAAATCAGATGAAGGTGCAAGCCTTTTGGAAAGCTTCCAGGACACTGTGGATGTATTCCAGGAAATATAAATGACAGTATGCTTATAGGCTGGGGGAAAGTGTTTGTAGTCCAAAAGGAAAGAAAAGGGGATGAGTCAGAGTTGGCCTCAGTGAGATCTGGAGCCCTCAGGAGGCTGAGGTAAGAGCTCAAGTGGAGGAAGATCAAGAAAAGTTTCCCCAGATTTTATGCATACATTTAACAATGCATTGGGTTTGTTTTGTTTGTTTTCTTCATTGTTGGCATCTAGTTGACTATGTGTTACCTCCCAGGCTAACCATCTTAGAGTAGGATTCATTCACTTCCATCTGGTTGTGTTAGTGAAAGGAAAACCTTCAGAGGGGCGGTTCTCAGAGTGTGACCCCCAGGATAGCTGCATCAGTCTCACCTGGGGACTCATGAGGACCACAGGTTCTCCTGCTCCCACACAAACTTTCCCAGTCAGCAGTTCTCAGGATGGCTTCCAGCTGTCTGGTGTAGGTTCCAGGTTGAGGCCCATCCCCTCAGGGATCTCCACATCTACTCTAGAATCAAGGATGCAGGCTCCTGCTGGCAGGAAGGTGGAGCGACCGTGTAGATATTGGGAGGGAACTAGCAGCTGTTCAGAGGCCACTGATGAATAAAAAGAAATGGATTCGAAGGCCTGGAAGGAGAAGGCGGAGTGCAACTGTTCTCAGTCCTGTGGAAGACGTTCAATGAGATGGGAAGCCTCGGAGCTCCAAGCTCTTGCATGGCAGAGAAAGGTGAAGGCACTGGGAGCTGGGGTGGTGGCTCAGTCAGTGAAATAAGGACGAGGACACACATTCAATCTCCAGAGCAAACCATGAAAAGGGCTCGGTACGGCAGGCATGCGGTTGTCCATTTTTAATCCCAGCACTGAGGAGGGAGATGCAGGCGAAATCTCTGTAAATTCAAGGTCAGCCAGAGCAACACAGTGAGAGCCTGTTTCTAAGACAGACAGAGAGACAGATAGGTAGGTAGATAGATAGATAGATAGATAGATAGATAGATAGATAGATAAATGGCTGAGTTTGTAGTCCCAAACATTGGGAGTCTGAGACAGGTATATATCTCTAGGGCCAGGTGGCCAAGCAGTCTAGCCTACTTGGTGAGTTCCAGGCCACTGAAAGACCTTGTAAAAGCAAAACAAAAAACGACACCCCAAAAGTTGTCCTCTGGCCTCTCCACACATGCATGCATTAAAGTGCACCTACACTTAAGGGAGGATGGGGGAAGAGCTCTCGGGAGAGAAGGGATTAAATTATAGCTACAGAGAGGTGAGTGATTCACAGTAAGGGTTAAGTTCTTCTCCATCAGGCTTGGGTCATTTCTTCTCCATTCGAGCTCTTCCCACTAGACGCTATTAGGAGCTTGCATAAGAAGGCCACAGCAAGGTCTCCCTCATCAAGAAGCTTATGAAGTCTCTGAGCCTTCAAGACTTCAATAAATCCGATAGAGGATAAAAAAGACACTATAACAGAGTGCTGACTTGAAAGTGACCTTGGGTCAGAGTGTGCAGTAGAGACTGTAAGTGCTTTGGGCATTCAAGGGGGAGGGAAGAGCTGGCATGGTGTCCCTTTGTCCTGTGGCTGGAGGATGGGATAGTCGGTCAGCCTGGCTTACGTCCCAGAGTCTCACTGCGAGATGCTGGGCAAGTGGGCAGCAAAGAGTCTTGTCTGTTGCATTCTTTCTCATCTTTCTGGGTTAGCTAAGGTTTATCATAACTATCAGGGTGAAATACATTCTGTGACCTGCAGGTGAGCTATTACTGTATTTCTGTTTTTCTAAGGAGCTAGTATGGGGGGTGTCACATTTTATCCTGGCTGTATTAAATGGCAAGAGGCTCAGGGCTCAGCTGGCCAAATTTGTTTCAGACAGGATTTCAGACTGACTCCATTGATACAGAAAACACAAGTGAGCCTGCCTGGGGATACCGTCAGTTTGAGCAATGCAAAACACTGATGTATTTTTCTTTAATGAAAGAATTAATTTGAATGGTAGGAGCAGGAAAAAGTGGAGACACAGCTTTCCTAATGCTTGCTTCCTTCTATGCATGTGTCCCTCCTCTCTAAGGTAGGTAAATAGAGTCCAGACTTACGAATCAGGAGAGAGGTGGTAGGCACTGTTGGAGTGGGCCATAAATGCTGTTTAAGTACAGGAGAAGTGCCATTTTTAAAAAATTTACAAACACACCCACATATGTGAGTATATATATGTTTATGTGTATATAGAATATGTGTATGTGCGTGTGTGCATGCGTGCGTGAGTGTGTGTGTGTGTGTGTGTGTGTGTGCCTGTAGTCAAGGAGAAGCCAGAAATTTGAAACCTAAAGCAAAATGATTTTTGTCATCCCTTCCCCCAGAAATTTGCATGTAACTGGTTTGAGCTCTTTAATGTGGTTTTCATTTTTGTTGTTTAGTTAGGATTCGTTTTGTTTCCAAGATTGGATCTCACTTTACGGGCCCAGCCTGACCTGCAATTCTAACACTTACCATGTAGCCCAGGCTGGCCTGGGACTCATGATCCTCCTACGATTGTCCTCCCAAGTTCTGAGATTGCATACATGCATCATTGTGCAGGCTTAGCTCCTTTAAGTGGATTTGCTTCAGCTGGGACATGCATGTGACAAGACAGCTTTCCAGTCCCCTACTGTGATGGGGTGACCTTTGGAACTTTAGGAAACAAGGACCTGCCTTCTTTCCTGTCACATCTCAAACAATAGTGACATGCAATGGGTCTCCCTGACAAAAATTTCTGGTGCTTGTTAACTAAGGCGATGTAGTAGTCAGAGAGAAGAATGACTCCTTTGAAGTTGCTGGAGACCCAAAGGACTGCCTCTAAACAGAGTAAGGAAATTAGTTGCACAGCCCTAGATCACTGATGCTCAGCCTGTTTTCAGGCCAGGGCTCTGCCACCGAGCTGCACCTCCAGCCTTGCCTGTGCTAAATTCCATCTTTGGCTTCTCCACAGTCTTCCTGGGCCGAGCATTCCCAATCACAGTGTCTAATATCCCTTTGTGATTTTTATCTGGTTCATGAATTACCACATGTTTTAAAAAACACATTAGTGCAATTCCCTAAGGTTCTGAGCCTGTTGGGGAGAGGAGGGCAGGCCCCTTACCTCTCTTCTTCACTGTTCTGGCCCTGGTTGGGTGTAGTGGCATGAAGTGAATGTGCTAATTACTAAGAAGGCACTTGCTAAGTTGGATCCCTCTATAGGAGCCACGATTAATCACGGAAGAACAGACACCTCCTTCCTCCTTTCTGAGCTAATTTTGTCTCTCCCTTTTTAAAAATTCATCATGAGTTCTGCTGATCAGTGTTATCAATTCCAAATCTAAGATTTAATATTATTTCACTCTTGTCTTTATCATCACCGTCACTACTCTTAACTGTTTGGGAGGGCCACTTTTTTCTTCCTCTTGGAAATCATTCTTCCCACATGCACAGTACTAAGACTACAACTCCACCTGTGTTCAGGGGTTCAGCTGACACTCATGACATGGAGAGGGAACACCTGACAATCGGGCCGTCTTTGCCTCTGTCATCCCCCAAAGCCCCAGGTGAACACTCTCAATCTTATCCCTCTGTTGTTGCTCCTCCGATGCTGCAGAAGTTAAAATAGGTTGGTAATACCGGCCTGGAAACGATTGTTCCTGGGCTGCGTGGAAGATGGGGAAGACAAGAAACCCAGGTGTAGAGATTTTTCTACGGGCCATAGCAGGCTTTGCATCAAAGCAGGCAGCCAGCCCGAGCGAGTCCTTTCCTCTGCTTTTGCCACCTTTGCACCCGAGTGTTGCAATCGCTGCAGAGAAGTGGCAGAGAGGCAAGTGGAAAATTTCACAGCCCTGCAGACATTGGGCACAAGAAACTTCACAAATCTGGAATTGAAGGGGGCCCTTCGCTGTGGCTCAGATAAAGAGCCACACTCCTGCCTGGCCCTGGAGTCTGTCCTGCTCTCTGCAGCTTTAGCCCCATACTGTCTTTTTTAAAGAATTTCTCCTGTCGATCCCACAGCTCTAATTCTGCCCCTCTTCCCTCCCATACCACAGCACCATGAGGTCCTGCAGACATCTGAGTGCCCCAGGGAGAGCTGATGGCTGGTCCTGGGCCAAAGCTAGCTTTTATACTCTGGCTCTGAGCTCAGTCGCAGGCTGTGACCAATAATGACACTTCCCCTTGACATAGTGCCTGTCTTCTGGGGAACGGCAAGTGCTTCTCTAAAGCACTTACTGATCATCCCAGCCACACAGGGAGGTACGAAAATGGAACCATTGCTTCCCTTTACAGAGAGCGAAGTCAAGCGACTTACTTTCGGGATCACGAGTGTTTTTCCGGTGCTGGGGATTAAACCCAGGAACTCAGGGACGCTAAGCAAACACTGTACCTCTGAGCCATAACCCTAGCAATGTTTTCTCACTCTGACTCCCTCCCGCCCTGTCTTTGCTGGCTCAGTTTTGTTGAGACAGGGCCTCCTGTAACCCAAGCTGACTTATTCCTCCTGCATCTACCTTCCCTGCGCGCTAGGATCGCAGGCACACACCACACATTCCAGCAAGTAGTGGCTTCTTCTGAGCAACTTTGTATCTCACCTGGGGTTGGGTTGAAGTTTCCCAGAACTATCATCAACTTTGTGGGGGAGGGAAAAAAAACAACATAAAATATTGGTTAGGCCACAACTGGTTTCCTGGGTCAAGAACAAAAATCAAAATTAGTAAATTAAAAACAAACAAAAACAGGTCCTGGAAAATGGTCTTTGGTGAATTATCGCTTTGGTTGACCAGATGACCAGGTTGTTGGAAGAACTGATTGAATGATGAATGTATTTACCTTTTTTTTTCCTTCTGGGCTGTTCCCACACTAGGTATTTCTCACCTCCCCTGTGAAAGGAAAAAAGACAACACCAGTGCCTGTGACCCAGCTGCTGAGGGAAGTTTCCATGTTTCCATGGTGAAGTCTCGGAGAGGCTTCCTGGGAGCAGAGCACAGTGAATGCTGTAAGTGAACAACCGGCCACAGAGTCTTCTTGCCTTGGAAAGATCACTGAACCTGGTGTGAGGGGCTGTTAGTGTGATCCCTGAGTAATCCTCCAGTGGAGTCCTTGTTTTCAGTAGAGGCTCTGTGTGTTTTAACCAGGAACTTGCCTTTCCCTTTCCGTGGCTTCTGCGGAGCACTGCTAGTGGTCAGCTTGTGGAATGAAAATGCAATGCAGGAACTATCTGCCCTTGTTACCGGCATAGATGATGGTCTCAAATGTATAGGGGAATGTTCGGAGCGGTTCTAGGCTGAGGATTAAAGGCCTGGATTTCTCTGCAAAGCTACTATTATTATTTATCCCAGGTTTCTTTTGCTTAACCAGAATGTTGGGTTTTTGTTTGTTGTTGCTTGCTTGCTTTTCTGACCCTAAAAAATCTCAGACCTATAGGGAAGAACAGCTATTTAGGGTTCTTCTCTGATTCAGAATTGACTAAATAATAATAATAATGATAACAATAATAATAATGATGATAATGATAGGCTTTTATCGGGGTGTTGGTCTGTGATGTTGAGATTAGTAAAATGTGCTTCATGTCATCTGAAGGTTCTTGACAAGTTTTAGAGTCTAGTGGTTGATAAAGTGGCCCATTTCAAGCTTCTAGGAGCCTATTTGCTGTGACACTTAAAGTAGGTTTGCCTAGCTCTGCCGTTTGATGGTGTTACTCTACTCTCTCTCTCACACACACACATACAGAGAGACAGAGAGAGAGCAAATTTTAGGAGAGTGCATTTGCTGCGAAACTTAAAGTGGGTTTGCCTAGCTCTGCTATTTGATGGTGTCACACACACACACACACACACACACACAAAGAGAGAGAGAGAGAGCATTTGCCTAGCTGTCATTTGATGGCAACTCTCTCTCTCTCAGGCACACACACACACATACACAGAGAGAGAGAGAGAGAGGGAGGGAGAGAGAGAGCATTTGCCTAGCTCTGTCATTTGATGGCAACTCTCTCTCTCAGGCACAGAGAGAGAGAGAGAGAGAGAGAGAGAGAGAGAGAGAGAGAGAGAGAGAGAGAGCATTTGCCTAGCTCTATCATTTGATGGCAACTCTCTCTCAGGCACACACACACACACACACATACACACACATGCGCGTGCACACACACACGCACACATATACACACATACAGAGAGAGAGAGAGAGAGAGAGAGAGAGAGCATTTGCCTAGCTCTGTCATTTGATAACAACTCTCTCTCTCAGGCACACACACACACACACACGCACACACACACACTCCACAAAATGTAGGAGACTGTTGACCAGGAAGGATACAACTACAGGAAAGTCCTGGGTGGTCAGTGAACACCTCTGAGGAAAGAAGCAGTGGTATCTTCACATTTTAGAATATAAAGAGCAAACTTCAGTTAGAATTTGTGGGCGTGAGAGATATTTATTACACATTTTGAACCTTCTAAGTCTTTCTTTAAATTTTGCTCCTTGTTTCTAAGTGTGGACAAGAGGTTTCCTGTGGAGGTCACAGGAAAACTGCTGAGCAGGTTCTCATTCTGAGTGGGTTTCAGGGAAGCCTGAGTCACCAGGCTTGGTAGCCATTGCCGTTATCCTCGGTGCCATCTCAGGGGCTGCCGAACTTCTTCATGACCCAATCACAATTACTTTCCAGTCTTTTACCACTTAACTCTTTATGGTTGCCTAAAAGGTTTCATAAAGGTTTCATACAGCACAGAGAGAAAGGGAATGGATGTCAAAACGCTTTTAAAATACTCATGACTTTTTAAACATTTATATTAAGATATTTATCCCTCTTTCCTTGTGGTTTAAGAGTATTGCCAAAATGAACTAGTTCAGTTCAAAACTTCCTGGCTCTTTGTAGCTCAGGGAAGGTGCTGTTGTTTTCATGTCTTCTCACTTGTGGGTGTGGGCCTGTGTCTGTGGAGGTTAAGAACACATCCTGCTCTTCCAGAGGACCAGAGTTTGATTCCCAGTACACACAGAGCAACTCACAACTGTGTTTGACTCCCAGCTCTAAGAGATCCAGTGCCCTCTACTGGTTTCCATGGGCAACTGCACATATGGAACACACACACACACACACACACACACACACACACACACATACACACACACACACGAATTTTAAATTCAGATTTTCTTGGTGCTTCATTGTAGCTCAAGGTGCTGCTGTTTTTGTGTGTTTTCACTTATGGGTTCTAGAAGTATGTGACTTGTTCTGTGGTCAGGGCTTCTATTCTTAGTCACACTATTAAGGTCAAGTATATTGATGACTCCAGGCAGGTCACAACCCCACCACCACCAAAGACAGTGGTATTTTATAAATCTGTGGGTTACTTTATGGTTCTTGTTCATTATCTATGGACAACTAGCTTGGTTTAGAATTTACACAGGCAGGAGAATTGTATATGTACAAAAAACTTACCACAAAAGTTTCTGTCACTATCATGGAATAATTTGGGGCCCTGTTGGTTTTGAGGGTTATGATGTTTCACTGCGGACCCTATTTTTCCTCAGGTAGCTTGTTGGCGTAGAGGTATTTTTTGAGGGGAAGGCTGGTCTTCAAGGCAGGGTTTCTCTCTGTAGCTTTGGAGCCTGTCCTGGACCTCACTCTGTAGACCAAGCTGGTCTTGAACTCACAGAGATCCTCCTGCCTCTGCCTTCTGAGTACTGGGATTAAAGATGTGTACCACCACTGCCCTGCTTAGTGATGTTTTTTTAAGGTGCTGTTTTCATGGGAAGTGTGTGTCTTATAGAAAGCCACTTTCAGGCCTAGCTTCACTTGAAATGAGAACAGTTTCTGTGATAAGGTCAACTTTGTGCCTAACGCGGTGGATCTGCCTTGCAAGCCATTGCTCTGAAGGACTCATGGCAGATTTCAGGCATTCTGTGAGGTTCTCAAAGGTCCTGAAGTCTAAGTTTGGAGATGCCACATGGCCAACTTTAGAGGCACTTGAAAATCCCTCTGTAAACAGACCGAGTTGAGAGGAAGAAAATACGAAATTCCAGAGACCTCCTTAAGCATGCCAAGAACTTTCTTTTCAAAAGTACATCACTTGAGATGAGAGGGGAGCATTCCACTAGTAAATACGGTATCAGCCACCTCTCCTAACCTTACTCCACCTTCTAACCCTTGGCTTCTATTTTCCACTCGTTCTAGCATGCCACAAAGGGGCAGTACTAGCGGGGGAATGCAGGTTATTTTTAGGGGAGTGTGTATTTGCACACAGACGGGCATAAGTGTGGGTGCCACACGGTGAGAGCAATAGTCGCAGCCACAGCAGCAGCGACAAAGCGGCCCGGCCTCAACGGCTCTCGCGGACTCTGCCTCAGCCTCTCTACTCATTGCATTCACCCCTCTGCACGTCTCATTAACATCCTCTCCCATCTGTCAAAGTCTTCCTTCCTAACAGTTGGCCTTTACCCATGGAGGGCTCTCCCCTGGCTCCCAGAGGGTGGAGAGGCATCGAGCCTTGCACAAGAAGGGACAGGCGGTGAAAAGCCAGTGAGGAGACCAGAGACCTGCATTTTTTGCATTTGATGTGGCAGGTGGCTCTGTAACTGGGGGCCCAGCACCCCTGGGGACCCATTTCAAGATGGGCAGCAAGAGAAAGTGAGACTGATGATCTTTGCAGTTCTAGCATTTTGTGTCTAGTGTCACCAAGATGTCATTCTGCTAGGAAGCAGGAAAAATCCTCAGTTACCCTCTTGGACTCCAAAAAACCAAACAATGATTTGCTATAGCCTAGTTCTCGGCTGCTTTTGTTTCGATACACTGAATGTGGTCCTATGATGTCAAGATGGCTTAACAGATAAAGCATACCCTACCAACATTCAATCCCCCAGTCCCACACGACCGAAGGAGAGAACCAACTCCTTCAAACTGTCCACTGATCTCCCCACACTTGTCACGGCATGTATACATGCACATATAAACACATGAATAAATAAATGCAGTAATCTTTAAGATTTTTTAAAAAATTATGTGTATGTACGTGTATGTGAGTACAAAAGTCCTCAGAGCGCAAAAGAAAGTATCAGATTCCCTGCAGCTAGAATTGCAGGCAGTATGGATGCTGGCAGCTAGCAAGCCCGAGTGATCCCCCTGTCTCCATGTCCTTACAGCAGCATGGAGGTTACAAGCGTCCTCACGGCTATGCTTGGCTTTTTATGTATGTGTTGGAGATTCATAGTCTTATTCTCTGAGCCATCTCCCTAGCCCCATCCAGCCTATTTTTCTTCCCTAAAAGTAGATGCTAAATGTCAATGATATGTGTGATACAAATGTGGGTAAGGGAAGCATTTAAGGACATCATATTACAGAGTAACGATCAGCAAGCTTGGGGATTTTCTGATACTTACAGAGCAAAATTCCACACAAAAGTGTGTCTCTTCCTCTTTTCCAACTGAGTGCCTTGTAGTCCTGTTTGTGAGCAGCCTGCACTGTCTGTCTGTGGATGGAGATGTTTTTATCTCTTACAGTCATGTCATTGTGTTGACATTTGTGTTCCCTTTTATTCCCAGTGTGGAGCTGGGCCCGAAGTTGCCTGAGTATAAAGTCACGGGTAGCTCACTACTTAGAGGGGAGAAATGGTGGACTGGCTGAAATGAGGCCCAACTTCTGCTCTGTAGTGTTTGAGGGGAAGCTACCAGAAGCCAGTTTAGAAAGGCAACGTACTGCCCTGCTTTTGAGGGTGGCAGGAATGAAAGAGTCCAAACGTTTGTGTGTTTTTCTGACCCCTTTTCAGAGTAACTGCCTGGGGTACTTCTTAGAGTGTGCCTCAGAAGAAACAGAAGCAAACACTGCTCTGCCTGTTCAAACAGCCCTGAGACAGGGGATATGAATCCTAGTCTCCAGAGTAAGAGAACTGCACGTGTACATTCTACTAGGAGCACATGGGTGGTTTCCCAGCATGTCTGGCAGGCTGGAGCTTTTAGAGTTGTGTCTACGATACCAATTTCTATAAGATGGTCATTTAAAAT